GATTCAGTAACATCACGAAGAGGCTGGAGTGTAAGATATTGTGGAAGCGTGAACCCTTCGTCTGGGCCGCATTATATTATATAGAAGGTTTGCCGTGGCGTACAAGAGAGATCGATCGTAGACAGATCGATCACGATTACAGGAGAGTTCGGACAGAAGAAAGGATAGAAGTTAGAGTACAAGTATAAACTAGTATCCCTATCCTATACAACTTGTCTAACACTCCCCCTCAATCTAAACCCTATGAAAGTTTACCAAGGTTGAGATTGTATTTGAAGTCATCTAACCTTCTCATCGTGAGATGTTTTGTGAAGCCATCAGCAAGTTGATCACCTGTTGGAATAAACCTTATATCAAGCAACTTGCGTGCTACTCTTTCTCTGACAAAATGAAAATCAACCTCAATATGCTTTGTACGTTCATGAAAAACAGGATTAGCTGAAAGATAGGTTGCACCAATGTTGTCACACCACAATCTTGCAGCTTGTGGAACTTTAATTCCAAGTTCGTGAAGCAATGTCTGAATCCACATCACTTCAGCTGTAGCATTAGATAAAGCCTTATACTCTGCCTCAGTACTTGACCTTGAGACTGTAGCCTGTTTTCTTGCACTCCATGACATAAGATTTGTTCTCAGAAACACAACAAAGCCACCTGTGGACCTCCTATCATCAGCACACCCTGCCCAATCTGCATCAGAATAGGCAGACACAAGTAGAGACGAGGACCTCATAATCTGAAGCCCAACTCCTCATGTAAACTTGAGATACCTCAAAATCCTTTTTACTGCAGTCCAAAGAGTTATAGTAGGAGCATGTAAATACTGACATACTTTGTTCACAGAATAGGAAATATCAGGATGTGTAAGAGTTAGATATTGCAATGCACCTACAACACTTCGATACTTTTTTGCATCCTCTGATCCAAGTGCCTCTCCACTTTCAACAGTAAGTTTTTCTGAAGTAGAGATAGGTGTACTGACAGACTTACACTGTTCCATACCTACTCTTCGAAGAATATCAGTAGTATACTTGTCCTGCGTAAGAAGTATGCCATCTTTGATCTTCTTGACCTCAATTCCAAGAAAAATAATGAAGATCCCCCAAGTCCTTGAGAGCAAACTCTAGTTTCAAATCCTTAAGCAGACAGAAGGTGGCATCTGGACTTGAGCTAGGAACAATTATATCATCAACATAAACAAGAACAAATATGGTAACATTGCTCTTACTATAGAAAAATAGTGAGGTATCTGCCTTTGATGGTGTAAAGCCAAGCTTTTGTAACTGTGTGCTTAACCTCGAGTACCAAGCTCTTGGGGCCTGTTTCAGCCCATACAAGGTTTTATCCAACTTACAGACATAATGTGGTGTGCCTTTGTTTTCATATCCTGGTGGCTGCCGCATGAACACTTCTTCCTCAAGAACACCATGAAGAAACGCGTTCTGAACATCTAGCTGTCGTAGACTCCATCCTCTGGAAATAGCAATGGACAATACAAGTCGAATAGTAGTTGCTTTAATAACAGGACTAAAAGTATCCTCGTAATCAATATCAAACCTTTGCTTAAAACCCTTTGCAACTAGTTGAGCCTTGTATCTGTCTATGCTTCCATCAGCTTTTCTTTTGATTTTGTATACCCACTTACAATCAATCACATTGTTACCCCTCTTTGGCGGTACTAGATGCCAAGTTTTATTTTTAACAAGTGCATCATATTCACTATCCATGGCTTTCTTCCAATCTTTATTAGCAAGGACATCATGTAAATGAGTTGGCTCACCGGTGCTAGTAAGAAACGCACGCTTGATTTTGTCATACCTGACCGTACCATCAGTGTACTGTTTTTCTTTGACAATACCTGACTGAGATCTTGTATGCCGAGGAGGAAACACAGGTGCTATTTTAGACCTCACCACAGAAGATCCAGGTGAAGCAGCAGGTTTTGTAGCAAATTCCGCCACAGATGATCCGGCCAGACCAGCGCTAGAATCTAGCGCTAGATCCGAGGAGAAGACGAGATCTGCCTCGGACTTCCTCGTCCAGGAGCATCGGTCCGCGCGGCTGGCATGGAGCATAGCAAGATATTGTGGAAGCGTGAACTCTTCGTCTGGGCCATATTATATTATATAGAAGGTTTGTCGTGGCGTACTAGAGAGATCGATCGTAGATAGATCGGTCACGATTACAAGAGAGTTTGGACAGAAAAAAGGATAGAAGTTAGAGTACATGCTTAAACTAGTATCCCTATCCTATACAACTTGTCTAACATGGAGCACCTCTTTCAGTCGAACGAAGCCAAACCTTGCAGTTCAGAGCGCGGCAGCTCGGTCTGGGTTGCAAAACTAGAATGAATGGTCACAAGTGTTGGCACCTAATTAAGTCTGAGGCTCTTTTCGTGAAAGAGCTTTGTAACTTACTCTTTGGGAATGTTGTCAGGTCGGTCGTGCGGTCATGGGTTTCATGATTTTGTGAGTGGTCTGTATATGGTCTGTTTGTATCGGTTTTAGCCCGGTTTTTTATTCATTAACTAGACAATTATATTCTGTAACGATGAGGCTAATCTTGCCTCTGTTTTGAAAAGAAAACCCAGTCCAAGCAAAGTTATTGCATGGATTGCTGGTTTCAGGCGGGATGAGTGGTTGACTAGTCCAGAAAACAATGTCTGAATAGATACTTACTCCCTCCGTCCTTTAAAGAGTGTACTTCCAACTTTGTTGGAGGGTCAAACTATCTCAATGTTTGACCGATTTTGTGCAAAAATATATCAATGTTTATGAAACAAAATAGTTATATGATGAAAATATAGTTTATAATGAATCTAATGCTACTAATTTGATGGCATAAATTTTGATGCATTATTGTATAAATACGGTCAAACATTAAAAGGTTTGACTTTCCAACAGAGTTGGAAGTACACTCTTTAAAGGACGGAGGGAGTAGGATGCAGGTTGAGATTTGAATTAATCTCAGTCATGCTTGGGTTTTAAGATTCGGGATGCTGACTTTTGACTTGTACTCCTTCCGTCCGAAAATACTTGTCTTAGAAATGGATAAAAATGGATGTATCTATAACTAAAATAAGTCTACATACAATTATTTTTAGGACAAGTATTTCCGGACGGAGGGAGTAGGTGACAACACATACAGGGAAAATATTGGAGCAGCTTCTGTTTATATTAGATGACGACTTTTGGCCTTTATATCCGTTTTTCAGCCTGAATCTAAATGAAAAAAAAAACAGGTAGCTTGTGTAGAGAGAAACTAAAATGCTGCACGTGGTTGTCGTCCATTGACTTTTCACTTCGAAGTTATGCATGCGTGCATCCGTAGTTCTTCCATCGTCTAGCTGGTTTAACTTGATGCTTACGTACTTTGCTGAGAGCATCCCAGCCGCCGTGCACCGCGCTAAAAATCCATTTGCAGCACGCGGATCGTCTGTTTTAGTGCCCCCACTGCAAATTTTAGCGCGCACGAGTCGCTCCAGCAGCCGCTGCAAAACACTGTGTGCGTTCTCGCACAAACAACATATGTACTCCGAACTAAATATAGAAAAACATATGCATATATTAAAAAAACGATACATAGATACTCCCTCCGTTTCTTTTTACTCCGCATATAAGATTTGGTCAAAGTCAAACTACACAAAGTTTAACCAAATTTATATAAAAAAATATGAACATCTACAATGCTAAAACTATATAGTATGAAAATACGTTTCATGGTGCATCTGATAATATTGGTTTCATATTGTGAATGTTTATATTTTTTAATATAAAGTTAGTCAAACTCTACAAAGATTGACTTTGACCAAATTTTATATGCGGACTAAAAAGAAACGAAGGGAGTATTTCACAATGCATACATAGTTCATCATAGCATAGATAGATAAAAAAAACTAGTCAACCACGATAAAAAAAACTACAGTACAACTAGATAAAAACTACGGTGCAACTAGAACCTACTCCGAGTTATCATTCTCGATGGTGTTGTCTGAGGTATCGAGCCACGCGTCTTCCAACGAGAATCATCTGAGTCAAAGAAGACTCCCCACCTGCGTTAACGAGATCAATCTGCGATATGGCCAGTGCCTTCCGCCGACGAATGTCCGCCCGCTCCGTGCGGCGCCTTGCCGTCCTCTCCGCCCAGAAGGCGTTCTTGACGTCCTCCTCCTACGGGTAACGCCGGCACCACTCCGCCATGGCATGCTCGTCCTCCTAGGCGATGAGGAGGCGGCGCTGCCGCCGACGGTGTTCCTCCCGGTCTTGTTTTGCTATAAGACGAGGCGGAGGGGCGACGGTTGCACCTACGCGCACGTCTGGACATCGTGGAAGTTCATCTATGCGCGAGGCCTCTGGAGGCACCACGCCGCCTCGTCGTATGCGTGGGCGGCCTCGTGCACGGACTCGAACATGCTGAGGCCAAGGCGGACGTCGCCGGACCGAATCTTAGCATAGAAGGCGCCGGAGGGGCGCTCGCGGACACCGCGGTAGCCCGAAGATCCCTGGCGGCGCAGCGGCATGGTGGTGCGATGGTGGCGCGTCGGTGGCGGGGCGAGGAAGCCGTAGAGGAAGCAGAGGAAGCGGGGAGAGCGCGCGTGGCAGTGTGGATAGCGATGGGAGGACGCGTGGCGAGCGCCGCAATTTATAGGCGCGCCAGAAGCGGTGCGACAAATCTAGTGCGCGGCCGCCCACTTTCTCCCCCGCGCGCGCAATCGTTTACCGCGCGCTAGTTTTTCGCTGGAGCGCGCGAAAACGTTCCGCGCGCGCTAAAATGATAGTTTACCGCACGCGTCTTTTGGCGCTCCCGTTGGAGATGCTGTGATAAGAAAAATCCTACTATCGTACACCTCTGACCCTGCCCGCCGTGCTCTCCGGCGCGCCATCAGCTTTACCCAGCATGCATGCTAGCCTATAGAAGGGCACCACCCAGAACATCAACTGAAACCAGCAACGTGCAGACCCACCCTTGCTCAACCGATTAGCCTCGACAAGCTCGCAGCCATGGCGCGGTGGCCAGCCGCCGCGGCGGCGTTTGCGCTCGGGGCGGCGCTCATGGGCATGCTGGCGGTCACCGCCGACGGGAGAGGCAGCAACACCAACAGCAAGTTCACGTGCACGGACACGGAGAAGAAGCGGCCGGGGTGCACGGGCACCTACCCCGACAGGTGCCCCCAGAGCTGCATCTCGCTCTGCCCCTCGTGCCAAACATATTGCCGTACGTACTCGCCCACCATTACTTTCATGATGAACTGCTACTGTTCTTGGCCTAGCTTTTAAGGTGCGTCTTGTGCATGCAGCTGACCAAGTGCAGCCAGTGCGGCCGGCATTGTTTGTGTTCGGGGAGGCCGAATTTCGTGTTTTGACCCTTTTTGGAAAGGATTTCAGGATCTGACCCTAGTTTGAAATTTTTTCGAGATTTGACCCTTTTGCTACCGCCAAGGCCTACGGCGGTAGGGTTAGATAGCCTACCGCCACGGCCCATGGCGGTAGGGGTGCGACGGAGGGGGACGGGGGCCGTTTGACTGCGCTGACGTGGATAAGTACCTACCGCCAGGAGGCCTGGCGGTAGGCTGTCCAAACCTACCGCCAGAGCACCTGGTGGTAGGGTCCTATCTCAGTGTAATGATTCTGTAACGAAGAATTGAGTTGCCCTGGCGGTAGGCTGTCTGACCCTACCGCCAGGGGCCTTGGCGGTAGGGTCTTGTTTTTTCATTGTAACGATTCTGTAACGAAGAATTGAGTTGCCGTGGCGGTAGGCTGTCTGACCCTACCACTAGGGGCCTTGGCGGTAGGGTCCTGTGTTTTATGAATTTAAGTTCATTTGCTTGCTTCTTTTCAAATTCAATATGACAATAATATTATAGCAATTTTCACAAATATGACAACAATATCACAGATCTCAAACAATTAAACTTGGGCATCACATACACATTAACAAATTTGAAGTGCATAAAACATTTCAAACGAACTTCAACTAATTAGTAAACTGAGTTCCACATAGTTTCACAAATAGCAAACACATAGATCCACAAATAGCAAACACATAGTTCCACGTAGCTTCATAACCACCCGAATAGTTCAATCAAACGAAGTTCAACGAAACTAAAAGAGCCAACTATCCAAGAGCATAATCAGTTGCTCCTTCCCCTCTTGGAGGTACGGTCCTCGTTACTCTTTGAACGATGCTCTTCGGTCTTCTTCTTGGGCCGTCGAGGAACCGGTCTCTGGAAAGGGTCCGGACTCAGCAAATCCTTCTTCTTCGGATTCCTCTTCTTCGGCAGTTGAGATGCTTGAGACGTTTGAGTTGCTGGAGGTCCATAATCTTCATCGTACTCCTCCTCCCCGTTGCTCTCATCATCCTCCTCCCCTTCTTCATATATGGCCTCCTCCTCCTCCTCCTCCTCCTCCTCCTCTCCAACCAACCTAGACGACGAGGGAGCATGGCTCGATGAGCCGATGATACCCTGTGTGGCTACAGGCTGATGAGCTTCAACTAACCCAGCTCCAGCACACCCAAGCAGCCCTACCAGCTTGCGACAACGCTGCACGAACTTCTGCACTCACAATGAAGCAAGGTCATAATAAGTTCAGATCGACTGACTACAAGTGAACAAGATGCATCTGTTCCGAGGAGACTGAAATTGTACCTTCATTGTCCCCCTGACTCTGGTCTCAGATTGTACGCTCCCGGAAAGATGACCTAGTGCATCTGAGGCTTCAAAGATGCATCTGTTCAGCTCACCGGACTGCAACGGCATAAGTCAGTCACGTTGACGAATAAAATATTTTAAATACGACTGTCGGTTCAAACGTACCACTCTGTTGATGAGGGGTGCAAACTCCCTAAATCCACTGTGCATGTCTCTGATGCCGGTCTGGTATGCCTGTTCATCGGGGTCAGCCCACTCCAGCTCCGCGATGTCTTCCGCCGTCCATCGAGGCCTGAGACGAAGACGATGCTTCTGGCCATCATCGTACCACCTAATGTGTTGGCCCAGGTAATCATCCCAGTTAGTCACTCTCCTCTCCACGTCTTTACGCCACCTCCATCGGTTCCACTCCGTCACATGAGTCTTATGCTCCTCTCCCCAGTTTGTGATCAACTGATTCTTCTGCCGGCTCATCCTGCAAGGCATAAGCAACAAGAATCATCATAAGCGCAATGAGATCATCATAAGCAACAAGAAACATGATAATCTCACGGAGAACAAAGAGCTCACAGGTGTAGCGCGTGGCCGCCGGTATCGGTGGGCTGGCCCGGTGGGGTATGCTGATAACTCCCAAACTGCGTGGCCACGCGTTGTGGCAAATGCCACTCGACGGCGTACACACAGATCATGGGCACGATGCACCGCCAGATACCACGGTCCGCATCGCACATCACGTTCAGATCAAAGGCCCACTCTCGTTCTTGTCGATACGGGCACCAGATTACCTATTACATATACCTTGGTAAGTTCGCACTCTCGGTCAATAGCGGAATCAAAGAGAAAGGTGTTGTGCGAGTTCATATACCTGCGTATGCGTCAAAGCGTCCAACTCGTTGGTGTAGGTCTTGTACGAAGTCTTGTTTAGGCCCGTGTAGAGTTTGACAACGTCCCACTCTCGCCTTCTTCGCCATAGTCTTCCCATGGGCGTCTTGGCAACTTCTCCGGACGCCCCACCGGCAGCCGCTCCCACATCCAAATGGAGAAGGCCCAGACAAAGCCACCCATATTGGACTTGTCTCCCGTCCTCTGCGTTGCATCGTCAAGCTGCAAAACATCAAATGAGGATCAGATATAAGAAAATGTCATGGACACACTTTCATAGGTAGGTACGCAATTAGACACTCTCCTACCAAACGGTATAGGTAGGCGAGAGATGCCGTCCCCCAACTATACCCTGCATCCTAGTCCGCTAGGAAGAACAGATACGCCCAGTTGGCAGAGTTCCCGGAGCTGTCTGGAAACACGACCTCCGAGAGAATATACCACAGATAGGACCTCGCGTACAACTCGACAGTCGCCTCATCTGCGCCTTGGGGGCATGTCCTCCGGTGCTCCGAGAGCCAGGGCAACGGCACACCGGATGTACGGTTACTCTTGGCACTGGGGCAGTCGCCGATGAGGGTGGTGACCCTCTCCTGCCAGTTGGCCCTCTCCACTCGACCGGTGAGTGCATGACCCTCGATCGGCATTGCAGTAATCATCCCCCAGTCCTCTAGGGTCACCGTCATCTCCCCGCATGGCAGATGGAAAGAATGGGTCTCCGGTCTCCAACGGTCAATCAGAGCTGTGAGAGCCGCGTGGACAAGCGTCAGCGGCTGACGCTTGAACTGCAGCACGAAACCCAACAGACGGGCTCTCTTGAAGAACGGCGCGTAGCGCTCGTCGTAGTCCATATGCCCATGAACCCCGTGACCCCTCATGCGCAGTGGCTGGAGCGTCCGTTAAAAAGTGAACGCCAAAAAGTTAGGAAATCATTTTCATCAATCCGAGAACTTTGATCAAAATTTCTTTCATATCACTTACCTCTCCGTTCTCTATGAAACGGGCATGATTACCCTTGCCGAATGCCCAGTCCAGCATGCAGTACCGTGGGCCGATGTTGTCCGCAAGAGGTGGCCGCCTTAATAGAGTTTCATAAACAAAAGCACCATAAGCATAAGCATACATAAACAAACAATGAACTCAAATCATATCAAGATCAAATTTTAAGCATATTCCTCCAACAACATCTACTACACATGATGGATCAAATCATATCAACATGCATCATATAAAAAAAACCTCCAACATACATCATAGCTTCATATTTTTAAACAAAATTTTCCAAACAATATCTTCATATCATCATATCAACATGCATCATCAAACTAGGGTTCATCTTCACACTAGAGCATATCATCATATCAACATGCATCATCAAACTAGGGTTCATCCCTTTATCAACAATACATCATAATTTTTTTAACAAAAAAATTATGAACTAGGGTTCATCTTCACACTAACATATGAACTATTGATTAGAGTACATATCCAATACCACTAATTACTAAAGAACTAAGAACTACAACTACAATCAATCTTAGGTGGAAAAAAATCAATCTAAGTTCAAAAACATGAGGGATTTCAAGCAAATAATGCGTTGAATCGGTAGCAAGTTTGCAAAAACTAATTGGAGGGATCGGAGGAGCTTACGGTTCTCTCCTCGGGGCCATCTCGATCCGCCAAGACGGTGAAGAATCGGTGAAGATCCAAGGGGGGGAGTGGAGGAGATGAGAGAGGGAGAGAGGGGCGACTTGGGGGAGAAAGAAAGGAGAAACTGCCGACTTGGGGGAGGGGAGGGGTGGGGAGAAGGGAAGGGGCGCGGTCTCGGGCGAAATAATTGCCCCGCACCCTACCGCCAGGGCCCCTGGCGGTAAGGTTAGACAGCCTACCGCCAGGGCCCATGACGGTAGGGTGCAATGGAGGGGGACGGCGCCGTCTCCGCGTGCTGACGTGGATAAGTTTCCTACCGCCATGGGACCTGGCGGTAGGCTATCTAACCCTACCGCCAAATGCCCTGGCGGTAGGCAAAAGGGTCAAATCTCGAAAAAAATTCAAACCGGGACCAGATCCTGAAATACTTTCTAAAAAGGGTCAAAACACGAAATTCGGCGTTCGGGGACGGGTTTACGGACGTCGGCAACAACAACTACCTAGAGAACAACGAGGTAGGGAACCCCGTAAGAGCAAATCACTCCTACTATGGCATAGACTTCCCCAATTCCGTGGCCACCGGAAGATTCAGCAACGGATTCAACTTGGCTGACTTCATCGGTATGCTAAGTTGCTAACTTTGATCCCATCACGCTATGTCTATTTTTCATAATTTGCTTACCGTTCAAGACAACTGACATGGCCACTTGTGCACAACACAATTGATCTACGTGTTCTAACATTATTACTCAACCAACATCCATTGTTTGCCAACAGGTTTCCATTTAATATAGTCTTATTTTCTCATGTAGTATAGCCTGAATTTGTTTTACTTTCCTGCAGGAGAAATTGTTTTACTTTACCGACATGGTGGCTAGCTGTTGAAAAACGGTACTTGTTAGAACAGAATAGAGAGGGGTTTGGTGGAATTGATGTATATTGTATTGAGCCTCTTGGGCGGTTTATATAGAGTACAAGGCTTGGAGAGCAAGAAGTCTCCCCTTGAGATAAGGCAGGAGATGGTTACAAATCATAGTCTACCGTATACAGATATATGCCTATATACTCGAACATCCTCCGCAGTCGTAGCGGTAGCGTCGCGGACAGCAGGAGCGTTGTGGACGATCAGACTGGAAAGAAAAGCAGGCGACGGGCTGATAGTACTGAAAGATATATAGCACAGTGTATACACTGTATTCGATATGTGCTATCAGCTGCCAAGACGTAACTAAGATATGAAAATTAACCAAACAATTACATTGGCATAAAAATCCCGTTTCGGTTTGACTACTACTGAATACCATCTTCATTTCAATTTATAAGGCATATAACTTTTCTTATCTTATTTCATATGATAGGGTGTGTGCATGTGAATTTATCGATGTTTCTCCATGTTCGCTCGAATCCTAGCAATCGCATATTCTGCTGTTCTATGTATATATAAGCATGGCTAGTTTCTATTTTCTTTGTTTTGGTTTCATTAGCATTTTTAAGTTTTATGTCGGCTTAAAACATGCATTACAGTCTGAACTGGATAGAACCGTATATAATTCGTCAAAAATCAGGAAGAATATCAATCCTTTTAAATGAATGGATATACTCCCTTTGTCCCAAAATAAGTGTCTCAACTATATACTAACTTTAGTAGAAATTTATACTAAACTTGAAAGACTTATTTTGGGACGGAGGGAGTATTATCTAAGTTATTCTGTTTTTGAAAGAATATTGATCAACCAGTGGTGTGTATACCCTTGATTGATATGCAGCAAAGGCTATGGGATTCGAGATGAGCCCTCCCACAAAAATGGAGGCTGGTTTTGCTGGAGTCAACTATGCTTCGGCGACCTCTGGGATTTGGAGAGACATCGTAAGTGGACACCTTCATGCATGCACGAGTATTTGAATTTGCATGCATTTTTTTTTCAGGAATGCATGTGCATTCATCGTCATTCGTCAACATACCTTCAGCTATCATACATCCATAGACATATCAGTACTCCCTCCGTTTCTTTTTACTCCGCGTATAAGTTTGGGTCAAAGTCAAACTACACAAAGTTTGACCAAATTTATATTAAAAAATATGAACATCTACATTACTTAAACTATATAATATGAAAATACATTTCATGGTGCATCTGAAAATATTGATTTCATATTGTGAATGTTGATATTTTTTAATATAAAATTAGTCAAACTATGCAAAGATTGACTTTGACCAAACCTTATATGCAGGCTAAAAAGAAACGGAGGGAGTACTATTTACAGGAATGTGTAAACACAAAATAATGGTACAGATATATTTAGTTCTTAGACATCAACTACAGTTAGTCGCATTGATGTTAATGCCATTTTGCAGGACACCGGACTGGACATCCCACTGATGGTGATGGACCAAGTGAAGAACTTCGCGGACACGATAGGGCAGATGGGCGCCAACCGTAGCCCGCAAGACCTGAGCAAGATGTTGTCCAATTCCCTCTTCCTCATCAGCACCGGCACCACCGACCTCTACTTAATCTACAACATCAACAACAATGGGGGCTCGGACAGCAAAACCGATGTCCCACACCTCATCTCCTCCTACGGCGACAACATCATGACCTTGTACAACTTGGGCGCGAGGAAGTTCGGTATCATCAACGTCCCGACCTTGTGCACGGCGGTGGTGCGCCATGGCTGTGAGGGCCTCATTACCAGCCTCCGGGAGGAGTTCAACGATGGCATCAAGCCACTCATGGCCGGCCTCGCCTCCAACCTCAGTGGCCTCCGCTACTCCATTGCCGACTTTCACGCCTTCTCGGATGCAGTCAACATGAGTCCGTCGGCCTACAGTAAAATCTATCAAAGTTGTCGACATTCTTACATGGTCATGCATCTGTCAGTTGAAAATGTTGGTGTGGTTTGTTGATGGATGCACAGGGTTTGTGAACACCGGGGGCGCGTGCTGCCAAGGCTCCTGCGCACCTGGTTCTGGGCTGCCGTGTGCCAACCGCTCGCAGTACTGGACACTGGCGGAGCTTAGTGTTGTGTTGGGGGGGGGGGGGGCTGTGGCCCCCCCAGCCTTGCACAATTCTCTGAAGAAAAAAATAAATAGAGGGCTTAGTTGGAAGCAAAATTAGTATTTCGTCCCCTCAAATGTTCACATTTTGTGTTTGCCCCCCAGAAATTCTGGTGTAGCTCCGCCACTGGTACTGGTATTGGGACGAGGAGTACCCGACGGAGCAGGCCGCTAAGCTGAGATTTTTTTTTAAAACTATGATGATTTTTATAGCAAATTCGAAAACTATACGCCCTAATGGAGAAAAATCAAAAGTATCACCCCGTCGGTCTCCTGTTGGCCGAAAAGGGACTTCTCGGCCTTAGGGTGTATAGTTTCCGAATTTGCTATAAAAATCATCATAGTTTCAAAAAAAAACCTAAGCTGGCCGCATCTGCGTTTTTCAATGGCACAACCCAATTCACAACGCCGGTGAACTTCAAGACGCTGATCAGCCAAAAGTGATAGTATTTCTTTATGTTTCCGACTTGCGGTATCCAGAAATAAAGCGAGACATCTGTGTGAGACTTATATTGCCATTTGCCTTGAATTCCAATATGCGGCTTTGTGTTTATCATAATATTCAGGGTACGGTGGCACGTTGTGTTTTACTCCTTCCGTCCCAAAATTCTTGTCTTAGATTCATCTAGATACGGATGTATCTAATACTAAAACATGACTTGATACATCCGTATTTAGACAAAATTAAGACAAGAATTTTGGGACGGAGGGAGTAGATGGGATTGGGTATGTGGAAACGGTTCAAGCATTCCTACTCCATCCGCGTGTGTAGTCGCATGCTCGTAGGGGTAAAGTGTACGTGCATGTGCTCATAGGAATGAATGTATGTGAGAGTCGACGTTTATAATGTGTTTCTACAAAAACGCCGACACTTATAGCAGCTCTCTTTACATGTGTCCAAGCTGAATTTTACAGTATCCACATTCCATCGGGACGGATGCATGGGCATGCACACATTCTTAGGTCATCAATTTGACTAAGGAAATACTCTCTCCGTTCCTAAATATAAGTCTTTCGAAGGATTTCATTATGGACCACATACGGAGCAAAATGAGTGAATCTACACTCTAAAATGCATCTATATACATCTGTATGTGGTCTATAGTAGAATCTCTACAAAGACTTATATTTAGAAACTGAGGGAGTATATGTTATAAGCCACCCAAATTATATGTTTAGAAACTTCATTCAAATATGAATCCAATGATATACTTTTGGTTTTGTGGGAAAAAAGGATATGCTTTTGATCGTTAGTCAAAAAAAATGCAGGTAGATCGGTAGTCAAATTGAGTATCTAAAAACCAGAGGGAGTACTGGAGGGAGCATATCTGTATATGGACTACGCAAAAAGAACATTCTCAAGTGTGTGCCGGAGGTCGTGTAAGGGCACTGTTGGTGCCTGTGTCTATTTGTACTATTAAACAGGGATATAGATACAACTCACCTACGTACTGTACCATATCTAATAAATCTAATAATGCCTTGTGTCCACATTTTGTGCTGCCTAATAATTTAAAAATAGCATGTAGTAGGATCATTCTAGCTGGTGGTGGTTTGGATCCCAGGCGGCCATCATCAGGTTGATCTTGGCAATGGTGCCAGGATGGTGGAAACGCCAAACTGTTCGAGGGAAAAAGAAAAGGCCGGCAGAGGGGCGCGTGTTGTCTCGAGGAATTAACAGGAAACTCGCCGCGCGCATTGATCAGAGCAAAGAGAAAAACTGACCAGAGTTGAAGAAGGCCTGACTATCGACTGCACTCCCAAGCGTCTGTCTACCCTCAGATCACATCGCATAAGCTGCAGTTCGCCTTCCTCGCACCTACCAGAGCATCCTCTGGTCTCATTTGAGGCATGGCAGCTCGGCGGACCATTGCCATGTTGGAAGGGGGTATGAGTGGAATGATCGGCCTCAGTGAAACACGGCTGAGGGCGCAGAACAGCGAACGCGAGTGCATATTGGACAATCTCTGCCCGTCTGAATACTGCGTGTGCTCAGTTTGGTGGATTTGCCAGTCACGAATGGGGCAGTGAACTCTGCATTCCAAGCCCTCACACCAGCCACTGGTATGCCACGCTTAGATTCCAGACCACACCACTTGCTATTCAAACACAAACCGAGTCTGCAAGCATACGAGCTTAAAGCTGTCAAGATGTTCCAGATTTCTACTGCCAGAGGTACCCTAACATTGTCCACAGAGGGCTAAAGAACCCTAGAAGTCGAGCCAACTCGGGCCAACAAGACAAACCTACGCACCCTCAAGACCACCACAAAGTAGAAACCATCTACGCTAACTCGACTACTCCATGGAAGAGGCTTCACGGAGTCTTGACAAAGTGCGGGCTCAGAAGCTTGGCAATCTCCAGGAACCCAACACGCTCTCTGCCTGCAAACAGGGCTTTCAGCTTCTCGTCGCACACGATGACCTTCTTGTCCCCAGGGTCCTGGAAAATAGCAGGACAGAATGAGAAGTGCAACTACAAAATAGCATGTTCGTATGTAGATACTTACTCCCTTTGTCCCACAATATAAGACCGTTTCTCAAGCTAACATAGCTTGAAAAACGATCTTATATTATGGGATGGAGGGAGTAGTTAAGTCCTTGTATGTTGCTGCAAATCCTACATTTACTGCTAGATTTCACATTTGTGACATCACTCCACACCAATGAACGAAAATCTCATGCTTCACCCAAATAGTTGTATGACGAGTAGCTTAATGTGTTTGAACATAAGGAGGCAAGTCATCCTCATCAAATCAACCATGCACTCTTCATTCACTAGTCACTATATATATTGTGCAAGCATACCACCATTCAGTAATTGCACAGCCACATTGAATCTAGAAATTAACTCTGTTCAGCAAGGATGTCAACATGTGTACAAATGCCACATGAGAAAAAAACTCTGTTTCAGACATTCATCAGTCAGTTTTATCACATTGGAAGCATCACAGCTCCTTCTCATGGGACCATCTTTCATAGACTCTGCTAAGTACTAACCGATGTGCAACACATACCAGCAAAACGTGGCAGCAAATCATCTGTTCTTCCCACAAGCAGATAGAAAGAACACATCAATTTGCACAGGGATCAGACAAGAGCAAGAACATTCCACATGCATCAGCAGAAGAACCCAACGCTGCATACCAGCAAGACGGAAACATGACGGGACGTTCTAAGAAGTAGAGTTATACACCGGGCTTCTACATCCGGCGAACATGGACAGTGAGGCGGCTCTAGAGCACAACGCCACATAACGAACGCCAACAACAGTTTTACACCTGTCCTGAAGGCAGGATCTCAGATTTGCTCCTGTTGGACACTAGCAAAAAGGCCGAGCGATTCCATCTCATCTTACGCAATCCTTTCCGACTTCGTCTTTCACATCCAAATCAATTACTACTACGCCAAACGAACAGCCTGGCAAGGGAAGGGATACCTAGGGTTTGGGGAGCTCGCGTGGGCGTGGGTATACCTGGAGGTTGTTCTGCTTGATGTAGGCCCAGATGCGCTTCATGGCCTCGGTGCGGGGGACCTCGGCGGCGCCCATGAACGCCTGCAGCGCGGGGGACACGGGCCGGGGCATCGTGATGCCGGTCGGCGCCGCCCTCTTCTTCTTGGGGGCCGCCGCGGCCGTGGTAGACTTGGCCGCGGCGAGCACGACGACGGCGGCGGCGGCGGGAGCCGCGCGGCGCAGGCGCGCGAAGGAGGCCGACGGGCGGAGGAGGGCGAGAGGGGAGAAGACGGTGGTGAGCATGGATGCGGCCGCCATTTGGGGTTGGGGGTTTCTTCTCTTGGGTCGCTTCGGCGTCGGGGTCTCTTTGGATAATGGCTGTGGGGAACAAGGGTTTGGGCTTTTGAGGGTTTAGGGCATCTCCATAAACAACAACAACAACAACAACAACAAAGTCTTTAGTCCCAAACAAGTTGGGGTAGGCTAGAGGTGAAACTCATAAGATCTCTCAACCAACTCATGGCTCTGGCACATGGATAGCAAGCTTCCACGCACCCCTGTCCATAGCTAGCTCTTTGTCGATACTCCAATCCTTCAGGTCTCTCTTAACGGACTCCTCCCATGTCAAAATCGGTCGACCCCGCCCTCTCTTGACATTCTCCGCACGCTTTAGCCGTCCGCTATGCACTGGAGCTTCTGGAGGCCTGCGCTGAATATGCCCAAACCATCTCAAACGATGTTGGACAAGCTTCTCCTCAATTGGTGCTACCCCAACTCTATCTCGTATATCATCATTCCGGACTCGATCCTTCCTCGTGTGGCCACACATCCATCTCAACATACGCATCTCCGCCACACCTAACTGTTGAACATGTCGCCTTTTAGTCGGCCAACACTCCGCGCCATACAACATTGCGGGTCGAACCGCCGTCCTGTAGAACTTGCCTTTTAGCTTTTGTGGCACTCTCTTGTCACAGAGAATGCCAGAAGCTGGGCGCCACTTCATCCATCCGGCTTTGATTCGATGGTTCACATCTTCATCAATACCCCCATCCTCCTGCAACATTGACCCCAAATACCGAAAGATGTCCTTCCGAGGTACCACCTGGCCATCAAGGCTAACCTCCTCCTCCTCATTAGGGCATCTCCATGTTTATTTTATTTAGAGGCGAGTTTAGGGCCTCTCCAACGGGCGCCTCTATATCTCGCCCTCAGCGAATCCAACTTCCGACTCGCTGAAGGGGTGAGCGAGATGGCCTGCTCATGCACGCGGCAGGTCACAACCTGTTTTTTTTTCTTTTATTTTCTGTTTACTGTTTCCATTTTTCTATTTATTTTGTTTTTATACTTTTAAATAGTCTAAATATATATATATATATTACAAAAAACACTCTACAAGAAATTTTAGAAAAATGTTAATCAAGCATTTAAAAAATGTTGAACAAGTGTTTGAAAAATGTTAATCAAGCGTTTGGAAAATGTTACATGTGTACAGAAAAAATGTTGATCATGTATTCACAAATTGTTATTTTTTTATTTGAAAATTGCTAATCAAGCATTTAAAAATATGTTTAAAATGTATAAAAAATGTTGACAATGTATTAGAAATTGTTACTTCTGTATTTGAAAAATGTTAAAAATATGTATAGGAAAAATCTTAACCATGTATTACAAAAATGTTTGATTTGCATTGGAAAAATGATAGACGTGTACTAGAAAAATGTTGTTGACATGTACAAAAAATGTAGAATACTAACCAAAAAACAAAGAAAACCAGAAAAATGTAACAACATAAACAAAAGAAAAAAGAAAATGAAAACAAAGAAAAAATGAAAAAGTAAGAATGGAAAAAGGAGAAAGTAAAAAAAGAAACAAAAGAAAACAAAAAAAGAAAGGAAAAAGAAAAAGAAAACTGGCTCGAAACGCCTCAAGTAGGACATGCCCCTACTACTTACCACGAATGGGACTTGGGCGGAGTGGCTTAGTAGCGC